GCTTCTTCTGGTTTGTGCTTATTGCCACAAGTGATGGCGAGCTACAGAGAGGGAACCGGATAAACTCAAACTCAGGATCGAAACCTAAGACTTTCTGGTTTATGCTTATTGTAACAAGTGATAGCAGAGCTAAAGAGAAGGAACCGGATAAACTCAAACTCAGGATCGAGACCTAAGACTTTCTGGTTTATGCTTATCGTCACAAGTGATGGCAGAGCTAAAGTGAAGGAACCGGATAAACTCAAAGTCTCAAACTCAGGATTGAAACCTAAGACTTTCTGGTTTATGCTTATCTAGACCATTTTTATAGTTGAGGAGCAAATTTGGCACTTTTCCCTAGTTTTTAAGATGAAAGGATTTTAACTTAATTACATCTGGGCGAAAAGCTAACAGATGTGAGTACTCTGCTCTAGTTACAAACCATTGAGAGATTATTCTCTAAATTGAATGCTTCACACATGGAGCCTAATCCAAAGTAAATACTTAGTCAATCTTTATTTGATAAAAATAAATAAAGTATATGAATTTGAAGTGGGACAAAATACACACAATGCCAGTTACCACTCCATCAGAAAAATGAGATTAGGTAAACAAAATATTAAATACCATAGTGAATAACAATAATAAAGGAAAGATCCATATCACTACTAGTACTAGCTAGGAGACAATTAATAGTATCAAATCTCCATGACTGTGTCACGACCCGGATTTCCCACCCTCGGGAGTCGCGATGGCGCCTACTAATGAGAGCTAGGCAAGCCAATTTTAATTATTTTTTCATTAATAACATAATTCCTTTTAACAATTATCGGCAATGTTACAAAGCCATGAAATTAAATAATAAGCGGAAGTCTCAATATTATAGAGAACTGAATAAATATGCGAAAACATCTCAACAAAAGCCTCTACCCAAGACAGGTGTCACAGTTTCACATACGGTCTAAGGATACTACTCATAAAAGTCTGAAAGAAATAAACTCGACACTGTCTCCAGAATTACATGAAAGAAACAGGAATATAGATGAAGGGAGACGCCAGGGCCTGCGAACGCCTGCAAGGCTACCTCGGGTCTCGCTGGACTGGAAGCCTGCTCCCACTCTATTGCTACTGCTGTCTGAAGCCTGGGATCTGTGCAAAATAGCACAGAGTGTAGTATTAGCACAACCGACCCCATGTGCTGGTAAATGCCTAGCCTAACCCCGGCGAAGTAGTGACGAGGCTAGGACCAGACCACCACATAAACCTGTGCGGATATATATACAAGTACAACGGAAAAGTAACAAGAAAATAAAAATTTAAGCTGGGGAAGGGAGCATGCTTCAGGGGCAACAGTTAGAAATAGAATTTCAGGAATAATAAAGCGTATAGCTAGAATTTAACTTCTAGCAGTAAATGAAGAGATAATGCAACTTTCATATTCAACTCATCTTGTTGCAGGCGTGCAACCCTATCCCATTTCTCAATATCTCGTGGTAGTCGTACCACCCGCTCCCATTTCAATAAATCAACAGTTCCTCTAAAATAAAATTTACTCTAATAACGCAACAATTAATACGAGTTCATAAGACAACAAGTACACAAAATTTATGATTTTCTAAGGAAAACAAATAATAACAAATAGCAATTAATTATGGATTATAAGGGGGCAATTAGGCAATTTAGTAATTTATATGTTGAATGTCACAGAGCAATTAGGTCACATAATCATGTAGCAATTAAGGCGTGAATTCAAGACATAACGTTGCACAAGGACACATTGGTTCAATAATAACAAGTAACATGATAAAGGGAAATGTCAACGTAAAGAACCACAGAAATAATGGAATATAACAAGTAATGCACTTGAACTGATAATAACAAGGAAATCAATAAATAGAAGTAAAGGACAACATAACTCAATTATCAGCAAAGAAACCAGGAAAATCAAAGATAAATGCACGGCATCACCCTTCGTGCTTTTACTCTCATCCTCACCAAGCAATTAGAATAACAAAATGTGTACGGCATCACCCTTCGTGCTTTTACTCTCTTCCTCACCAAGCAATTAGAATAACAAAATGTGCACGGCATCACCCTTCGTGTTTTTACTCTCTTTCCTCACATATAATCAATGGAATTGGCACGGAATGGTACATCGTGCGGCACGGCATCACCCTTCGTGCTTTACACTCTTTCCTCACAATAGCAAACAATGCATGGCATCACCCTTCGTGCTTTACACTCTTTCCTCACAATAAACAAACAATGCACGGCATCACCCTTCGTGCATTACAATCTTTCCTCACAATAGCAAACAATGCACGGCATCACCCTTCGTGCTTTACTCTCTTCCTCACCCAAACAACAATCACAAACAAGGGCAAGGGAATAAATAAAATAATAATAGAAAATCCCGGCAAGGGAACACAATAAAACAATTAAATCCCAGCAAGGGTACAACATCAATAATCTCAACGTCCCGGCAAGGGAAAATATTCAATAATCAATAACGTCCCGGCAAGGGAATAGATCAATAACTCTCTCTTTCTTTCACTTTTATCACATAGTTCACATTATCACTCGAGCCAATACTCCAAAGATTTACTTATCTCATATACCTTGTATTTCAACTCGAACCAACGCTCCACGAAGTTCAAAGATCACAACTTCTTTCACAAGATTTTTACAACATATAGAAGTCATCAATTAAGCATGGAAGGCATAACAACAACCAAACTATTCGCTAAATAAGGACTCACGATCATTCTAGACTCCAATGCATAGATACTCGTCACCATGCCTATACATCGTACTCGACAATTAACAAGTTACAATTAAGGCTCAACTCTTATTCCCTCAAGCTAGGGTTAAACCAAACACTTACCTCGATGCGTTGAACTCAACTCAAGCCCAAACTATAGCTTTACCCCGTAATTCCACCTCCAATCCGCTCGAATCTAGTCACAAGTCACTTAATTACTTTAATAAACACTAAATGAATCAATTTGAATGCATAAAAATGAATTTCCCAAAGTTTTTCCCAAAAATTCTAAAATCGCCCCCGGACCCACGTGGTCAAAACCCGAGGTTCGAACCAAAACCCGGTTACCCATTCCCCCACGAACTCAAATATGTAATTTGTTTTGAAATCGGACCTCGAATTGAGGTCCAAATTCTCAATTTTTGAAAAACCTAGGTTCAACCCAAAACCCCCAATTTCACCCATGAAAATCTTTGATTTTAAGTGGAAAACATGTTAAATGATGTTAATGAATGAAAGAAGTGAGTAAAAATTGACTCACAAATGATTTGGAATGAAACTTGTTCTTGAAAAATCGCCTAAGGAGTTGTATTTTGAAAATGGGGTGAAAATTAGCTTAAAATTCGACTAAGTATAGAAAAATGCAGGCTGCAGTTATGGAAATTGCGAACTGGGGTTCGCAATTGCGAACCCCAACCAAATATGGGAAATGCGAACCAGTGTTCGCATTTGCGAACCCTCATGAAAAGCCCAGGTTTCGCATTTACGAACGAAAAGTCGCATTTGCGACATGGCCCCTCTCGCATTTGCGGACCCAGTGGTCGCATTTGCGACCCAGTGCAGTATCCCCCTTTCTCGCATTTGTGATCAAATGCTCGCATTTGCGAGCTCGCATTTTCGAGAACTTCTTCGCAAATGCGAAGATACCAGAACTGAAGATACCAGATTTTTAAAAATGCAAAAATGCAATCCGACACCTATCCAAAACTCACCCGAGCCCTCGGGGCTCCAAACCAAATATGCACACAACCTCAATAACATCCTACGGACTTACTCGTGCGATCAAATCACCAAAATAACATCAAAAACAACGAATCAAACCTCAAATCACAAGTTTTTCCTCAAACCTCATAAACTTCCAAATTTAGAGTTTTAAGTCCGAAACACGTCAAACGAGGTCCGATTTCAACCAAACTTTACAGAAAACACTTAAACCACATATGAGACTTGTACCGGGCGCCGAAACCAAAATACGGGCTCGATACAACAATCTTTTAATCAAATTTTATTTTCATTTTCCTTATAATTTCCAGAAAATAATTTCACACAAAAATTCATTTCTCGGGTTTGGGACCTCGGAATTTGATTCCGGGCATACGCCCAAGTCCCATATTTTCCTACGGACCCTCCGGGACCGTCAAATCACGAGTCCGGGTCCGTTTACCCAAAATATTGACCGAAGTCAAATTTATCCAATTTAATATCAAAATTTATCCAATTTAATGTCAAATCGAGGCAACCCCAAATGAGGTTTTCAAGGCCTCAGAAACACGGAATGGATAAAAAAACAGGTGCTGACCCTTTGAGTCGTCACAGGCTGGCTCCACCTTATAGATATAAGACACTTGAGAGAAGGGTTCAAGTTGGCGATAGGTATGTGACCAAGTTGAGGATTAACACAGAGCAACTCGTTGTAATACACAACCACATAATAATTAAAATCATAGTTTGCATTGCATAGATTAGTCAAGAACATGCATTAGGGGTGTGTTTGGTACAAAGGAAAACATTTCCGGAAAATATTTTTCAATTTTCTCATGTTTGGTTGGCCTAAATGTTTTGGAAAATATTTTCTCTCATGAACTCATTTTCCTCCAATTGTTTTCCCTATCAAGAGAAGGGAAAATATTTTCCAAAACTCCTTCTCAACCTTCCCCACTCTATTCTCCATCCCCACCAACCCACCCC